CTGTCGCATAGATATGAAGGTTCTACAAACATATATTCTAATGTTGAAGGATCCTGGGTAAGTCCGTATAAACAACAACATTCAGATCGATCTTGAAGCTGCTTTTCTGTAGGTAAAGACTGTTTCATAAATTTCTTTAGAATAACCGCACAAGGATCTGATCGAATGTAATAGCGTTCATTGCTAGAACTTTGTATTTTTTTGGCACCTTGGCTCCATTTTGCTGAAATCACCGCGCCAAATTCACCTCTATCTATATATTTTATTTCTGTAAAAAAATTATATGGAATCCATTCAGGATACCGACTATAAGGTAATGACTGCTGTGCTTTTCTAATAAATTCGTCAATTTGTAAATTTCTACTTGACCAGTTAGGAAATTCGCTTACTAACACTCTGTGAAGACAACTGCCGCATAGATATGCAGGTTCTACAAACATGTATTCTAATGTTGAGGGATTCTGGGTAATTCCATATAAACAACAACAATCGGATCGATCTTGAAGCTGCTTTTCTGCAAGTAAAGAAGACTGTTTCATAAATTTCTTTAGAAAAACCGCACAGGGACATGATCGAATGTAATAGCACTCATTACTAGAACTTTGTATTTTTTTGGCACCTTGGCTCCATTTCGCGGAAACTAATGCACCAAATGCACCTCTAATATTTTTTATTTCGGTGAAAGAATCGTATGGAATCCATTCAGGATACCGATCATAAGGCAGCAACTGCTGTGTTTTTCTAATAAATTCATCAATTATTAAATTTCCACTCGACCAGTTAGAAAACTCACTTACTAATATTCTATGACGACAACTGTCGCATAGATATGAAGGTTCTACAAACATATATTCTAATGTTGAAGGATCCTGGGTAAGTCCGTATAAACAACATTCAGATCGATCTTGAAGCTGCTTTTCTATAAGCGAAATCTGTTTCATAAATTTCTTTAGAACAACAGCACAGAAATCTGATCGAAGATAATAGTGATCATCATTAGAACTTTGTATTCTTTTGGTTCTTCGGCTCCATTTTGCAGAAATTACTGCACCAAATTCACCTCTAATATGTTTTATTTCGGTGAAAGAATCATATGGAATCCATTCAGGATACCGGTTATAAGGTAAAGACCACTGTGCTTTTCTAATAAACTCATCAATTAATTCACTTTCTAATGCTTTATGGAGGCAATTATCGCATAGAGATGTAGGTTCTACAAGCATATATTCTGATGTTGAAGGATCTTGGGTAATTCCATATAAGTCACAACAATAAAATGAATCTTGGTGGCGTATTTTTATCATTGAAAGCTGATTCATGTCTTTTAATTTCTTCAGAACAACCTCACAGGGATCTAATCGAATGTAATAGCGTTCATTATTAAATATTTGTATTTTTTTGGCTCCTTGGTTCCATTTTGCAGAAATTACAGCACCAGATTCGCCTCTTATATGTTTTATTTCAGTGAAAGAATCATATGGAATCCATTCAGGATACCGATCATAAGGTAATATTAGCTGCGCTTTTCTAATAAATTCATCAATTTGTAAACATCCACTTGACCAGTTAGAAAATTCACCTATTAGCACTTTTCGGTGACAATTATCACATAGAGATGTGGGTTCTACAAGCATATATTCTGATGTTGAAAGATCTTGGGTAATTCCATATGAGCCACAACAATTAAACAAGTCTTGGTAACGTACTTCTATAGTTGAAAGCTGATTCATATCTTTTAATGTCTTTAAAACAACTGCACAGGGATCTGATCTAATGTGATATTGCTTATTATTAAAATTTTGTATTTTTTTGGTTCCTTGGCTCAATTCTGCAGAAAACACTGCACCAAATTCGCCTCTACCAATATATTTTACTTTGGTTAGAAAATTATATGGGATCCATTCAGGATATCGAATGTAAAAATTATATGGAATCCGTTCAGGGTATCGAGTATAATATAATGACCGCTGTAATTTTCTAATAAATTCGTCAATTAGTAAATTTCCACTTGACCAGTTAGCAAACTCTCTCTCTAATACTTCATGAAGACAATCATCACATATTATCAGGTATTCGGCCTCACACTTTATATTATTTTTACATCGCTTACAATTTTCGATTATTTTTAATTTTTTTTCACATTGACATACTGAGTTTGGACATAATCTGGTTCTTTTTTCTAAAAGATTAAAACTATGTCCTATTTTCAACCATCTATCGGCTTTCATTAAGTCTTTTGTAGTTTCAATTCCATTTCGATGGCATTCAATATTATATATTTCACCAGAATTGCTCATATCGGCAGATTTTTGATAATAAATGAATGCCTTAAGTTCATCCTTTTCAACACCAATTCCTTTTTCGTAACAAAATCCAAGATTGTTCATTCCATTAGAATTACCCATGTCAGCAGATTCTTGATAATAACTGAATGCCTTACGTTCGTCCTTTTTAACTACAATTCCATTATGATAACAATATCCAATATTAAATGTTCCACATGCATTACCCATGACAGCAGATTCTTGATAATAACTGAATGCCATAAGTTCATCTTTTTCAACACCAATTCCATGATGATAACAATATCCAAGATTGTTCATTCCACCAGAATTACCCATATCTGCTGATTTGTGAAAATAAATGAATGCCTTACGTTCATCCTTTTCAATTCCGATTCCATACTGATAACAACCACCGAGGGAATTAATTCCATAAGAATCTTCCATATTTGCTGATTTTTGATAGTATATAAATGCTTTATGATGGTCTTTTTCAACCCCGACTCCATGTTCGTAACAAAATCCAAGATTATTTATTCCAATAGAATTTCTCATCTCTGCTGATTTTTGATAATGAATAAATGCTTTGTGATTATCTTTTTTAATCCATTTTCCATATTGAAAACAATATGCAAAAATATTTTGAATTATAGGATTGGTTTGAACAATAGGATTTGTTTGGTTATTTAAACATAAGTTAATTATTTCTTCTGGTTTTTGCTGCTTGTTTGCAAAATGCTGATTTATGGAATAAAGGATTGAGCTTATTGGATTTCCTTTTTTAACTTCGTTATTATGCAGGTCACATAATTCTTCGATAGCACTATTTAGAAAATCCTGCGAATTATGCAACGATAAATCTTCTTGTTTTAAGGTACGACTATCATCATAATCTGTAAATGAATTATTGCAAATGCTTTTTTCATTTGACATTGTGTATGATTAAAATCGTATATTATATCGTGTTCTGGTAGAGAATACAATATACCGATATGTATGATTGGCAGTGAATTAAAAGCCGTATTTTGGTCTTATTATGCAGGTCGGCTAAAGCGGAGTTAAGGCTACTTTTTTGATGGGATATTTATTATTATATATGGATATCAAGAATACAATAAAACCTCTATAAGTGCACGAAACTTTAACTATGTGCACTTAGAGCATCTATGGAAGTTATATATATATATATTTGGGATGAGTGCACTTAAGGTTTTTACTGTACAACATATGCAGTATGCAGTGTGACCATCGTATGGTCAATCATGCTGAGTTTAGCCCCGATGGTGACGTGAGAGAATATGCGGGAATTAGATGAAAATAAGGGACTCATATTTCATGGTTATTAGACATTTATTAAAGAATGTTTATGTATTTATTTAGAGACGAATTCAAGGAGCATACATTAAATGGTTAACTAAAAGCAAGTGCGACCCTTTATATTCATTCTAAATTCCCATAACGTGAACGCCAAGATGGCAGCGTCTACGCTCCAGATGGTACGTTTACACTCCAATGGCAGCGTATACGTTCCCACTGTCACTTTACGCGCCTTGAGTACAGTGACATCCATATGATTAAGCCACTAAGAATACATAATAATGCCTATAAAGGCAAGATTAACATGGTTATGGCGACACAATTATGGGTAACAACTTAATGAATTAGACAAATGCGGAAGTGAGAGACACGAAAAAATTATTCGTTACAATAGATCGAATATTGGGAATTAGCTAGTTTAAAGCCGTACTTTGACACTTTATGATCGATTTAAAGATTTTCCATTTAAATTATAGATTTGGTTCCTATTTATGTGAATAAAACTTTATTATACATTAACTTTATAACATATTGAGATTTATAAACTTGAAAAAATCAACTCTTCGAAGACATAGCGCTCTAAAAATTTAATAAGAAGATCGAAAATTTAACTTGGCAAGTTGAATTCAAGCATGCGACCTTGTTCGTACAAAAAATACCTATCCCTTAAACCGTTTGAAATTCAGGGCAAATTTGCCCTGAATTTTACTATAAAAATACTTCTGAT